ATCTGCAGTGTGAGATGACAAATGTGCATTGACCAGGGAAGGGTTCACAGGATCCATACAAGAAGCAGCCAGGAGGCTGATGCTGTTGGGTTTTCCACTGGATAGTCACTATTCTTGTTCCTGTTTTGGAAATAGTGATGACAAGGAGTGTGTGTGGAGCAGGGACCAGCTGCCTTTGCTTCCTGATGGTGTTGGGGAAAGTCAATACTCTCGCTCCTTCTCCCTTCTAAACCACAAGCCTCAAGGTGCAAGGGAGATTCTCAGCAGGGAGCACTGACAAATCAAGATGGGGACTCTGTGAGCCACACACTTCTTGTGCTGCAGCCTAGAGCACAGACTATTCTGCTGCAGGAAGCAGAAACTGGAGAACTGAGAGGCAGTGTCCTGGAACAGCTGAGAAGGGCAGGAGAGATTAGTCTGTCTCAGACTGGGATGTCTCTTCCCAGGTGAGAGGTGTGGAACACAACCAGCCTTGTGCTGCTGTCTGCCTGGGCTTACGCTGAACGCTGCAGCCTCAAGCCAGGGATGAGAAATGTCTACTCGACTTCTAGTGCCAAAATACAGATCAAAATTCAGGTTCTTCTGAACGTTTCTTTGCTCTGAAGAAAAAGAAGAAGAAATATAAACAAAGGAGCATGTGTATTTCCCGTCACATCTTGCCTAGTTTGCCAAAGGCTTTCGGTACTTTCCTTATGAATTCCTCGTCTCTAATCCACCAGCCTCAGTCCTCAAAGTGTTACAGACACTACTCTCTTCCTTTTCTCAGCAGACAATCATGTCTGGCAGAGCAGGAATGACTGAAAGGGACAGATTCAGCTCTCAACAAAAAAACCTGGAAAACAAAGACTTCCAGCATTATGCACCTGCAGCCTCAAAAAGAACTTGTTGCTAGCAAGGCAGAATTATCCTGCTGCCATGACAAAAAGCAGCTTTTCTTGAATGCTTTACATCTCACCAGATCTACGTGACACCAGTCAAGAACAGGTCTGAAAGAAAATGTTTTCACAGAAGTCAGAGCAACGTGGTTCAATGGAGTACAATGTTTACCCCTCTTCATTGACTGGAAATTCAGCTCCAATCTCCTCCACACTCGTATTTCCTCCAGGGCTGATAGGAGAGGTAGGGCCTCAACTTAAGGTTCTCTTTCACTGCTTAGCAAGTGAAAATTTGTCCAAGTCTCATGCTACAGCCCTGCAAAGGTTCAAGCCTCTACAGACTAATTTCTTCTTGTCCGCGCTTAAGGATGAAACCACGTTTACACATCCACAGAACCAACATTGTCCCCTAACCTGGAACAGTTATAGCACAGCTGGGAGACCTAATTTGCAGTCTAGCCACTAAGTCTAATGGTTATACATATAACACTCATGCTGAGAACAGATTCCCAAGTTGTTGCTAACAGGTAAGTGCAATTTGAGGGGACTGTGCTTTCATTCCCTCAAATTCTAAAAGCAAGTTGTCAATCACTGTCATTCTAACTACCATTCTTTTCCACCTCTCTTTTGAAAAGTGAAAATGGTATTGTATAAAGACACACACACCTCTATCATGTTAAAACCCCTAGTCAATCTGAAAAGAGACAGCACAGCCTATGAAATCAATGCCCATTGTCTTTTTCAAGCACACTCTAATCCCCGAAAGCTTCCTGTCAAATTGCACTCTGTTTCCAAACTGTGTTTTTCTCATTCTCCTCTAAGGAAGCGTTTTAGCCTCAGTTATCCCTGTTTGTAACAGCCCACTTGTCCCTCTCACATGCAAACTCCTTCAGTAATCACCACAAACTGGGGAACAAACTCAGCTTCTAAAGCAGCAGGAGACAGTCAGGCAGGGTTGCAATTATCCCTGGGAACTGCGGTTACTGCCTTTCATACATCACCGAGGGTGCCATGAACGGAAAGATCCCATTATTTTCTCCAGCTAAGTTGAAGTTGGCAACTACAGAGTGAACAGACAAAGCACAGCTGCCTTCCCTAGGGTGCCCATCACTGCATGAAGTATAACCACAAAATGCACTGGACTGGTGTTCCATGGAAGCACTCTTTGCATCCCAGGAATATTCAGCCAACAAGCAATGTATCACAAAAGGGTGTTACAAAGGATTTAAATTGTGAAAGGACTGAAACCACCATGTTTATCGGTGCTGTTTTAGTCTGTGAACACCCACCCCTGGACTACTTTATGCTCAAGAACCTGGACATAATCTATTTTCTTGACAACTCATTTGGTTTTCTTGGCTCTCCATTTCAGTTCTTTCTGTCAGGTACCACGTTCTCAACACATTGCTATGGTTATTTTAGGGTATGTCCTTCACCTCACTCATTCCTAATTTCAGTCTCACAGAGATTTGGAAGAAATAGCATCCTTTAAAAATCATGCTTGTCTGCCTTCCCAAAATTGCCACTCAGGACTTTAACATAACCACTTCTAAGCAGTACTTAATCTTACTCAAAAGACAACAAGATGTTATGAAGTGCTTTTTTAAAACTTCTCCAATGGCCAAAAGAGATACTTAAGGCAAACTCCACATTTTGTGAAGTGCAAAATCCATGACCAATGGATTTCATATCAGTTTTTATGTTTCCAACGAAAACATTTAACACATGCTTACTATATAAACACTTCGCAGAAACACACTAATGCTTTAAAACCTGAAACAAATCCAATTAAGCAAATAAAAGATGATCAAGTTCTTTCTGTTGTTATAAGCAAAAGGAAGTAAATAGCACAGTTCACGAAAAGGAAATCAAGCTCTTTGAAGTGAATGCCATTTCTGCAGTACGATAACAATGCCAGACCCATAATAAACACATAAGCGCTGTCATAATGCCCGTTTTCCCATCCCTGCACACCAAGGCTGATCCATTTCACATTCCGAGTTGGGACCGGTGATTAGAAGGAGACCACACTTCACGTGCCTTGGAAACAAGGTTTTTCCCCACCGCTCAGCCTTACAAACCAAACCGCGGCTGTCGCTGCCAGATTTCTCCCACCAGGCACAAACACAAGCGGTGCCCCCTCACCAGCTGCGCCTCCATCCAAGCGCCAGCGCTGTCCCGGGATGCGGCGGTGGGAGCGGGAAGCCCATCCCCAAGCCCCCCTCGGCACCCCCGATGGCTCCGCGCTCCTCGTGGGCACTTACCCGCTCTGAGAGCCGCCACTGCGGGGCCCCGCCAGGACCTGGGGGACCGGCCGGGCACCTCCGTGTCAGCACCTCCCGCGCAGGGACAGCCCGCCTCGTCCCCCTCAGCGCCCGGACCCCGCGCCCGCTCCAGCTGGGGCTCTGTAAGCAGCTTATCCCGGCGATTAGCAACGCTGCCGGTCACCGGGGCTGCAGATGGCCGCGGGAAAGCCGCTCTACCCCACGGCTAATTAAAGCCGGGACCCGGCCGGGGTGAGGGCGGCTCAGCCCGGGGTGAGGCTGTACCTGTCCCGGGCAGCGCCTCAGGGCAGGCGCCATCTCCTCCCCCTTCTTCTCCTCCTCCTCACCCCGACCCCGCCACCCCTGAGGGAGTGAGGGAGGAACTTGCCCCGGTGATCCTGAGGAGTTGCCTCAGGGCACAGCAGGACCTGAAGATTTTAAGAAACAAAGCAAAACCACCCGAATGGAGCGTTGCGCCTCTCTGGGTGAGGAGACGCCGCTGAGAAACTCTGAGAGCCCCGGGATCAGCGAGGCCATCCTCTGGCACAGCAGCTCCGTGAATCCCCTCACACCCTGCTAAACCAAGTACAAACACTCTCCTCCTCCTCCAAAGCCAGGAGAGGGGCCTGGTTTTATCACCACCTCTCTGCTTTACTCCTCAAAGTAGGTATCCTTGAGGCGCTGCAAACCTCGTGTGAATCCTGCCTTGCTCTGCTCCCCTGAGCTCCCAGATGTGCCAAATTCTCCACAGAAAAGCACACAGCAGGTCAGCTAGATGGGCATTTCCAGTGGAGAATGGCTGGGAAGGCCTCACTAAATATAACTCATCGTGCAAACACGCAAAAAACACTGCATTTAAAGCAGTGATTTTCTGTTTGTGGTTCATTGGTCTAGGGAAGAAAAAGCCTGAGCATTTAAATGTGTTATTCGGGGATCTGTGCTGACACTAAAGAGCTGAAAAAAACCACTAACATAAAGGCTGTGCAACTCCACAAGCCCCAGAAGTTTCTGCCTACCTGTTCTTCCTTCCCCATTTGATCACAAGAACAGACAGATTCCTATTCCTGTGCTCTGTGGCATGGCAGCTTGAAAAGAATGAATGCACAACACTCATCCTGTGAGAGTAAACACAAATATCACACTTTTGTGGCATTTACCATGTTCTTGGTCCAAGTATCAATGATGAAGGTCCAGGTACACCAGCAGGTTGCTGTAGTGCTTGTGCAGCAGAGTGGAGGAAGCATCTGCTTATGTTTAAAGTGATCAAAGTTGGGAGAAAACTGCTTGGTTTTAAAAATACAAATGGCATGGTTCTGCAGGTTAGAGCAAAGTTAACAGGTCTCTTGGTCACTGAAGAACCAACACAGCAGCAAGTCTTGTCAAGAGAAATGCAACAATAGAATAGATACAAACTTAGAAAATGAACCTGCTTCAGAAAAACACAGATCTTCCTAGAACTAGAATTCTGCCAAAGCTGACATACTCTTTTTCTTCTCTAAAAGAATCCTGTTGAAATTGGTTTGTTTATTTGTTTCTGGGATTTTGTTTGTTTTAGAAATTTACCTGAAAGCTACAGCAAGGCAGATTTATTGTGCAGAACATTAGAGTTTATGGTTTGTCACACACTGTGGAGCTCACCTCATCCATCTTTTCCCTTCCCCAATCCCCATTTTACTAGCCCACCTTCCCACCCACATATTTAGAAGCAGTACCTTCTGCTTGTTGTAATAAAGCTTAGACTAAAAGCCATCAAAGCCCTGTAGAGCTTTCCCCATAATGACCCTCCCAAACTGCCTGGCTACAGCCTCAAACCCTCAGACAGACATATATTTTCAAATGAGACATAAGTGACCAGTTTAACTTTTTCTAACACAGGAAAACTGTGTTCATTTTATAGTTTTCTTAGAAAAATGTAACATTTCAAATTCTGTTAAGACAGGCGGCTGAAGGCAAAAGGACATTTCAAGGCACAAAGTATCTATACCCTACATTCAACAGTCATTTTAAGTATCCTGAAGGACATTCAACTTGCATAAAAGCATCAGTCAATAAAACCCAAGACCAGACACTGGGAGCACAAACACCTCCCTGGCCCAGTTAAGAACATTTTATACCAAGCCCAGCTTTGTGCAAACCACCACAGCTAACACAGGGAGTTATAAATCTTAGGAGGTCATAAATCTTAGTTAAATAACGCCATCAAAAACAGCTCTTGAGAACTCCCAGATGTTTCCTGGGAATATATCTGCATAAAAGCAGGCTAACTGTATTGTTTAAGGGCAGTCCATAAGGCTTTTAAAGACAGTTTGTCCAGGGGTACTTTTAGTGGTTCCCTTACATCAAAGAGGATGCACAGTGCAAGACCTGGAAGACTGCAGGAGGTGCACCAGTCACACACACTGAGGAGGGACTGAGGAGGAAAGTACTGGGATTACAATGAGTCACAGTGCTTGACGTGACACCTCCAAGATCTTCTGGACTTACTGCAGGAACCCATCTGCCCAACCTTCAGGGGGGAAAAAGAAGTATCAGATCCTGTCCCGTTTGCTCAGCAGCAGGTGTGGCTCCATGAGAACAGAGGGAGGAAGAGCAGAAGCCTTGGCTGGGCGAGGGCAGTGTCCGTTCAGGGCTCCAGGTGCCTCAGTAGGGAGGCTGGGCTGCCTTGCCCGGGGGAGGCCACTGGGGAGGCGCTTCTGACTGATCAATGGGCTCGTAGGTGCTGCGATCCTGGCTCGCACTGGTGACACCTGCATGGAGATGGAAGAGAACAAGCTTGGGAACAACAAAAAAGCACAAAAACTGTATCCTCTAGGAGAAGCCAACAGCTCAGGAGCACACCACGTTAGCTGCCCTACCAGCTTCACAGCACCTGCCCTCTGTGATCCTCACTGCACAGGCAGGAGGTAAAAAACTCATCCTTCCAACAAAGGGAAACTCACTGCTTTTGAGCATGTCTCTTCATTCCTTGCCAACTGCTCTCTTAGTAGCCACATGGCTGTGTGCAAAGCAAGACCCACAATACCCCATTGCAGCATAACAGGTTCCTGTAACAGCATATTTCAGCAAGAGCAGTGTATGGGAGCTCATGGGAAAATGAACAGACATAGCCAGAAGCAGCAGGAACCATGGCCAGCTGACAGCATGGATTTAAAGGCATGATTCATCCCTGAACCACTCCTCCCAACAATGCAGTCTGCACACCGCGGCACTAAATTTGAACCCAGCAGTGCTCCCAACTGCACTGTGAACAATTTGTCTGTACAAAATCATGTTACTGTCCAGGGGATGAGCAGGGAAAGAAGAGAGAGTGTGCATGGACAGCTCTTTATCTATGGACCAGGCACCTGTCATAGGGAGAATCACAGGTAGGCACCAAACCATATGAGGGGTTTGTTCTAAGCAGCAAGGATGCTGCCAAGCAACAAAAAGGGATTTTGTGCAGAAAGAAAATGAGCCACAGAAGACTAGGAAAAACACAGCATTGCTGGGTTCAGAAGGAAAATGCCGATAGCAGGGAAATGAGAGGAAATTTGTCAAGCACATTCAACACAAAACAGCACACAGTTTGAAAAAATCTTGAAAATCTTGTGAGAGAAAGACAGTTCAGGAGAGGATGCGCAACTACAAAGTGTCTGAATTCCCCCCTGTGCCTGGGAGGAGACTCTCAGACAGTACCATGCCTGGTTTGGGATAGTGTGGTTGAAAAAGAGTCCTCCCAAACTCCAAGCAAAGGGGTGAACTCCTCAATGACACTTACACTTTCCATGGGATACACACATCAAATCCCAGTGAGGAGCACAGTGAGCAGCTAATAAAAACTGGCACAAACATGGCCCATAGCAAGGCACTGCAGGTGACTCACAGGCCTCCTGACCCAGGTAAGACACATCTGTCTGGATTTTCACAAGCAGAGAAGACACCCACACTGCACTAGCAGAGAGAGGCAAAGAGCACACAGTGCCCCAAGCCATGATTTCCCTCCATGGCTTCTCCTCCTCTGCAGGTATCCACCTCTTTTCACAGCAGTGTGATCTTTGCTAACACCCAAAGCAGCACAAGTGGCAGCTTCCAAACATTGTAATGCAGTGACACCTCCCTTTGTCCTGCACAGCCATGGCAAACAGAGCTGTGCCAGGCTGCTGGTTTTGCCAGCATGAATTCCCACACAACAAACAATCCCTGGCAGCTGCCCAGGCATGAACTAGCACCAGGCACGCTTAGTAAAGCTAAGACCCAGAACATCCAGCCACAGCCCATGATCTCTGGCAAGGCTGCCACACTATCATTAACAAGTGCAACCAAGAGAATAATTAGTGTCTCCAGGCAAAGCCCCACAAGATAAACATCAGTCCCATTTTCCAGGGGAGGAGATGGAGGTCCAAACCAAATCAAGGACATGTGAGGCCCACAGAAAGCTTGGAGTTAGAAATCCAGCTGCTTTCCCTCTGGTGCATAATCCAGCTAGAGGAGATACTCCCTCTACTTTTCCCCAGAAGGAAAAGAAAGGGTTGGCAAAGAAAGGACACCCAAAGGCTTCCAACATGCACACACAACGTAAGAGGAGGAAGAGAGGAAAGGCCTCTCACAATACCATTGTGGGCAAAGTGGCTGCCAGACAAGGACTCCAGGTCTGCATGGGAAGAGAGAAAGAATATAAATTTAAGGCCAAAGACACACCAGAACCACAAAATGGGAGAACAGACACGAGCAAGAGAGAGTAAGCACCCCACTGAAAGAGGGGCAGAATCCTGCTGCACAGGGCTCAGGCTGAAGGGCCCAGAGAGCAAGGCAGAGCCCTCAGCACCTGAAGAGACAGCGCACGCTGACAGGGGAGCAGAGGAAACATCCTACCTATGTTAAAGGTGTACTCCCCTCCACGCTCCCGGTACATCCGATACACCAAATAGCAGGCCAGGGGTTTGAGGAGGAGGCTGAAGATGGCCATGCCCACACTGAAACGGGTCGTATCGCCGAGATGGTCATGGGCGGGGTAGAAGACAGAGATGTGAATGATGTCTGTGAGCACTGTGAGCAGCAGGCCAGTCAGGAACTGGAACAAGGAGAGAGAATGGGACACGAGCTGAACAGGGGTTTAACCACTATTAGTAACAGTCAGTGCCAGAATCTATCTCCTGTGAGATCTGTGTTCACACAATCATCCCTCACCCCAGTATCACACATGGCTAACTCCTTGACACTGCCCCAGGTAGAGAGATACTCCTACATGAATGGTCTTGTATTTTGTGCATTTTCTTCACATCTGTCATACAGCTTCTCATAAGGTATTCCAGAATTGTCTAATTTTGTTTGCCAATCTCTTTAATGTTCAGAGAAGGGTTTTATAAAGCCCCTCCACTCAAGCATATTAAACACTTTGAATCCTCCTCTGGCATTACAAGTCACAACAGCAGGTAAAAAAAGCAAGAATCGTGTATGTTCATCTCTGAGGAGAAAAATAATTGATACTGAATGCTTCTCACCATGGTTTACAGAGCTTATAGATTTATACACTCTTAAAAAAAAACAAACCCACCCAAACAGGGAATTGACTTGTTCACTGCTGTACTGGGAACAGCTGAAAATTATCACTGGCTCAAAGACTCTGCCCTCCACCCTCTCCCTGAGCAGCCTGGGGGAGGCCAATACCCTCACACTCACCATTGCAATGGCATCGAGGGAATCTCGCTGCACAATGGCCCAGATCCCCACTGCAAGGACACTGAAATTTCCCCAGGCATAGGAGGCTGGTAAGATGTGATTCATGCATCCCCTGCCAAACAAGACAAAAAAACCCAGACCAAATTCACAATTAGCCTGCAACAGTCTGTGTTCATTTCTGTTCCCATACAAACACTTCACTCATAGGTTTAGGATGTTCTTGCACACAGGCAGACACAGAATGTTGATTCCCCAAGAATGTCCCATTCCTAGTTTGAAGGAATACCCTCTTCTCACCCAGGCCAGGCACCAATCACTCACCACACTGTGAGCAGCCAGTGCACCAGAATGATGGCCTATGGAAAAAAAACAGAGAGGAAGACAGGTCAGTAAGTTGGGGGAACCCTGGGAGGATCCACATGAAATGACACAATCTTGTCTGGAAGAGAGCCCTGGAGCCATGAACCAGTGCAGAAAGCCGGTGAGGCAACTGGGACAGTGAAGACAAACCCATTTTTCTCCACTTCTGTTGCTGAGAATTTCCTGTGGCGCTGCACTGCAGTCGTTCATTCTTGTTGTCATGTCTGCTGACAGCCGATTCAGGGCCCACTTAGTCTTTTTCTAAATGGGTTATTGATTTTGGAACTCCAGAAGAGTTTGCACAGACAGCCAGGCAATCTGACTCACTACGCTAGCACAGTTTATACATGACCAATCTGGCATCCCTTCACCAAGAAGTCCATGGATAGTTGAGCCTGCAGCTCCCAGAATTTCACTCCACTCCTCAGTAAATCCTCCTTTTACCTCCTTCCAGTCTGTTCAGAGCAGTGGTTCAACCTCACTGCCGTGTTAACAGACCTGAAGGTATCTTCCAGGACTCCGAGAACCTGATCCTGCCACAGCATACAGCTCTTCTCACTCCTGATGAAGCCACCAGGCCCAAATGCCAACAGTGCTCTAAACAGCAGTAAGATAATGCTGTCACAAATTCTGTACTTTGCACATGTCCCTAATGATCCTGATCCTTGTGCTCAAGGGGACAAATCCAAGAAGACAGGACTATACTGTAACAAGTGACACAAGGATTCTCTTCACCAGCACCTTCCATTTCTGTAACCAAGGAGACATACTCTTCCATTTCTGTAACCAAAGAGACATACTCTGGATAAACAAACTCATGTTTATTCAGACAGCAAACGGGAACAACATTATATCACTTCAGGCTTTTTCTGTATCTATATCCATGTGCTCACTCCTTCAGAGCCTGCTGGCCAATCCAGCAAAGGGAGGTCTCTCATATTCACTCTCTAAACATTTCTGAAAACAACAATATGGAACATGAGCTCTGTTAGCAGCTCTCAACAAAGAAAGGCTGAAGCCTGGACAAATCAGAGGACCCATGGGATACAGAGAATCTTCCATTTTTTCTAGTTGTGAGAAAGGCTCCAATTGGCATTTATACTGACCTTGGTGTAAAAAAAAAACCCCACAGTAACAAAACCCCTCTGAAGCACACTCCCACCAAAAAAGGTGAAAAAGAAAGCTTGAAATGAGGAAGTGACAAAAGCCTAAGTTACTCAGTGGACACAGGAAAGCTGTAGGCAGATAGGAGCATTGAGACACTAAAAAAAAATAATTAAGATCTACTGACATCCTGCCACATCCCTTGACTTAAAACATCTACCCATGCTCCACCTGACAACAAAACTAGCTGCTCGAGGAGAGAGTGATCTGAGAAGTTGGGACACAAGTGAAGCCCAGCCAGGAAACCTCTGGGGGTGACCCCATTGCTGTGGCTCACACTGCTCTGCCACGACACAATGCAAATCTCTGTCTTCTGCTCTTCCTTCCCTGCAGTGCCCCAGCACAGCTGCTGAGCACTCACCAGACTTTGCTGTAACTTCAAACGCGGCTCAGGCAGATTTTTATTAATTAATTTTTTTAATTGTTCATGAAAGCTTACAAAATGCTTCACCACCACCCCCCACTTCCCCTTCTCCCAAATTGCACCACGGAGACCACGGAGAAGCTGCTAATCAGTAAAATACAAGATGTTCTTGGATAAGAATGGAGACATGCAAATAGCATTTACTCAAGAGACTATCACAACATCAGGGAAATTCTTAATTAGGTAGTATTTAATTGCATGTCACATACCCAGAAGACCCCTCAAGGCTCACCAGTTAACATAATTAGGCAAGGTGGTTTTTTTCTTTAAAGCTGTCTAGATCAATATTGCAGTTATTAAATTATGAAGTATGTTTAGTCATCAGCATGAAGTCAGGTAATCTAAGGCTGATAGTATGAGGGACTGCTGAAATAAAAACAAGATATTCCCTTCCTGGTTATTAGTCCAATTTACATGACAGCTGGAATTAGCTGGTGGTCTTGGTATGCTTTAACATAGAAAATATAGTGTTAATGAAAAGCCACAGTCACCATGTGAGATTAGATAATTTGTAGGCAGTCTCCTGATAAGACAGCAAGAGAATTTAATTTTTTTCCATCTGTTCAAGGACTTAAGTCTGTACCTAAGACAGACATACATTTCTTCTTTTGAGAAAATAATTCCTAAGACTTGAACTAGGGCTGAGAGCAGAAAATAAGAAAGGTGGGTCCTTTGTCCACATCCCTTCTGTGCAGAAGGATGACAATGTGATTAAAAGCATCCCATTGGAAAGTGGGGAGAACTAAGGGGAATTCCTAGCTCCTCTGCAAATCCCAGCATGTGATGGAACTAATTGCCAAGCATAAAAAGAGACTGGGTCTGCCTTGGTCTCATTAGATGGGAAACTCTTTGGAACAGGAATTCTTTTAAACATGCTTCAGTACAGACCATAGCACAACGTTGAATTTTGACTAAGTTAAAATTTACATGGTTCCAAATTATAATTATTTTCTTGTTGTATCTAAATTTTTATTTTACTTTTTTTTTTTTATTTTAGAGTGAGCTCATCTACCCTGTGAGTGACATATTCACCTGAGAACATACTACCCAAAATATAGGTATGAGTGGCCACCTGTGAGGATGCTGCTCATTATTATACCAGAGGGATAATGAGAGTGGTTAGGCAGTGGGACAGGCCATCCAACAGGGTTGTTGTGGCTCTGTTCTTAGAGAGTTTTAAAACTCAGCTGAATTTTGAGTTGAGCTATTTGATCTAACTTTGCAGTTCGCTTTGCTTTGAGCAGGAGGTTGAACAGAGGTCTCTTATTATTCTGTGATTCTGTGACCTAGCATTTAAAAATGCCTAAGCACAAAATGTGTGTTTCCAGGCACATGGATTGTAGGGCATTGTCCAGGCTTGATCAAAGTCAAACTTTGTATTTTGAGGCTCTCCATAATTATTGCAATGGTCCCAGGTGTCAAGTTTTCACGGCAAAAGTAGGGCTGTGCTGCTTCCCACATGTTTTGCTGAGCGTTAGTTAGAACAGAGCATGTTCCTCATCCACTCTAGGGCAAAGCCTGCTACGTTAATTTTATAGCTCTGCAAGTAGCTTAAAGAGAGGCCTCAAGGCTGAGATATTGCTACATTCTGGCACAAACACAGCCCGGTCATGCAGTTTTCTTGGAGCTACTTCTATCACGAGGCTCATCTTTCTAATCTCCCAGAACCCGTAAGCAGATCATGCCAGTGAATAGTAGCAGTGTGTGTTATTTCCAGGCCCTTTCTTAGTAAGAATCTTTCCCACCTTCGTGGTGTTTTTCAGGGAATCAGGCCCTAACTCGGGAACAGAACAAAGATGCAGGTAAGATTATTAACTCCCTATTCCCCAGCTCTTCAGCTCCAGAGTTGCCAGACTCAACAACAAGGAATTTCTTAATGCTGAAAACAGTTTGCCCAGGAGAAGCTCACTCTTATCTAGTCAGAGATTGGGAAATGCTTGCCTGAAACCAGAGAAGAAAGGCAACATTTTAGTTGTGTTGTCTCAGTGACTCACTAATTGAAAGGCCGTGGTTTTCAGCTCCCCTATCTCCACCTCCCATGGTAGAACATCTATTTTGTGTTGGCAAACCTTTTAAATGCAATGTCCTTACTTTTCACTGTTGTTTTAGCCTGGGAAAAAAATAATCAAGCCAAGTTAAAAGACAAAGCAGAAGGCAAGATCTTTCATCTTCCTAGTGCCCTGGGAATCACACAATAGTCCAAACTTGTCAGAGCAAAGTATCAGCAAGTCCCCAGAATGTAATATAATCCACATGCCAGGCCTCGAAAAATCCATTTGCTTACTTGCCTCTAACAAGGGAAGTTGCTTTTCTTGGTGAACTAGTAAGAGGGGGGAGAAAACATCATTATATGAACACCGAGCTTTTATTTATCACAGCCACATGAAAGCCCTCCTGTCTAAAGCTGAATTCATAATGGTAGCTGAGATAATACTCTCCCCACACCCAACCCGTAGGCAGCCTGCTCCATGGCCACTGCTCACAGCTTAAAAAAACCTGATGTGATCAGCTTTCACTCTCTGGGCAAAGCTTTAACCATAGAAAGGATCTCAAACTTGCTGTACTAAACAAGTTACACAAAGTAGTGAAGCTAGAAAAGGGCACACACACCTAGAAATCTCAGAGCTTTGAAAATGTGAAAGACAAAAAAAAAATAGAGGAAAATGTCACCTGTCTGGTAGCACGGAAGGCTTTGATATCAAACACCCACAACAAAAGCAAAAAAAGTGTGATTTTAGCATCCTCCAGCTTGTCCTGAAGGATGTGCTTCTCCCCACAGTGAAAAATGTAACGTAACCGTGGTTAAGTCTCTTATTTCTCCTTTCTCTGGTTATCAGATATTCCCTGAAATTTCCAAATTGCCCTCAACTGGAGCCTCCCCTCCCCAACAGAGAAGCAATTTCAGTTATCTACAAGATGATAACCCCAAAGTAAGCAGGCTCATCTTTCTAAGATACTTTGCCTGACAAGCAAAAACTTTGCCTGCTCAGGATCTCCTACAGTGGCTTAACTCTGGTCAGCTGAGCTGGAAACCTCGAGGGACACTGGTTAAGAGCTGTTGTTGCCACTCTGACAATGTCCCTGAAGTCCGAGTGAACCTTGGAATCATCACCTGACGGGTTTAGTGACCAAGACTCACAGAATATCCCGAGCTGGAAAGGACCCATCAGGATCGAGTCCAACTCCTGGCCCTGCCCAGGACACCCCAACAATCCCACCCTGTCCCTGAGAGCGTTGTCCAAACACTCTGTTGAGCTCTCTTAGGCTGAGGGCCGTGCCCACTGCCCTGGGGAGCCTGTTCAGCGCCCAACCACCCTCCGGGGGAAGAACTTTTTCCTGAGATCCAACCCGACCCTGCCCTGACTCAGCTTCGTGCCGTTCAGAACTTCTGCTGCGTTTGCCCACGCGATGAAAAAAAGCCTCCAAACA